CACACATCTTAAAGTTGCCAAGGTCGAGAAACACTGCGCTAGCCTCTCACCCCTGGAGTTTCCTGATGGTATCCCATCCACATGTAACCAAGCCCAGACAAGATTAAACTGAATGCTATAATATTATAGCAGAAGAAGATTTTCAAGCATGGTTCTTGAAACTTGCCTCCAGCCTAGGTGTTAAAAAAACTTGGCATTTCTATGCTCGCTCCCCAAGTAGCCAGAATTTCTGGATTGCATCACAGTCCTGCTAAACTTCATTATCTGAGTAGCTCGGATATGTTGGATCCTAAACTCCCTGCCTTCTAGGTCCTCAGCTGCTGTTCCAAACCCGAGATTCTTATTTCCAACCTAATCCACTCCCACTCAAACCTACATCCCTGAAGTGATCTTTTGGCATGACTCAGTTCTGTCTTCTGAGCCAAGACTCCACTTAGTTCATTGTATTATGGAAGGTTCTTTTCCTGCAGGGCTAAATTTTCTCTCTTGTGGATTAGTCACACGGCAGAAGAGCAAACAAGAGTCTGTCTGGACTAGGACATATTTTTCTCTCTGTGCTTTCCCAGACCGAAATTTTGTTCCTCCTTCAATGGCTCATCTGTTCCTTCCTCAAAGTTACGTCCACCTTCCTTTACAACATCCAGCAGGATCAGAAAGCCAGTTCTGCAGGGCAGGCTGGCAGGTGGAGAGCACCACCAAAGCTCTGTGTTTTTGATGCATTTAACAGGCAGAGCATTGACTGCACAGTTCGTGCCACCATCTTGACTTTTTTGACTGCCCCCTGGGGATACCCGAGCTATCGCTCCCTCTGTCTGCTTTCCTCTCGGCTAAAAGCATGAATGAAAAGTGAAAGTGTTGCAATAAGGTACACCTGTGTGAATCAGGAAGGGGTGAGACAGATAAGAAAGTAAAAAGCTATAAATGTCTGTGAGCCGCTCTCTCTCTTAGACACAACCACACCTTGCTGGCTTGACGGGCACGGTTACAATAAACATCAGTGTAGTTTAGAGAAGGGTGTGTGTCTGTGTGTAGATCCTTCCCTTTCCCCGCTCTCCCGCAGACTCCGGAAAGGAGAGGAAGCCCGGTGGGTGATCGTCCGTTTGGAAATGGCTTTTGGGACTGGGGAGAAAGAGGAGTCTGGATCGCTGGGAAGAACCCGGGCCGTAAAGGAAAGGAGGGCGGCGGGGAGCGCGAGCAGGTGCATTCAGCCTGACCGAGCGGCTGCGGCGTTCCTCCCGCAGGTGTCGGCTCCGCTCCCGGGCCATTAAACCCGGGAGGAAGGCGG